CCCCCATTATTTTTAAATTTGCTATAGAACATGTGTACTCACCAGAGAAAGATAGATGAGTGGGGAAGAGCAAGAAAGCAAGCCACCAGGTCTAGGACTCGAACTGCAGTCAGCTGTGTGGGAGTCTAGCACCTTAACCACCACATCACCTGCTAACCCTGACTAGTTGTTTCTTTCTCATCTTTCTTTCTTTCTTTCTCTCTTTCTCTCTTTCTTTCTTTCTTTTTCTTTCCTTTTCCTTCTTTCTTTCTTTTTTCTTTCTTTCTTTCTTTTTTTTTTTTTTTAAGGTTTTTTGTCATAGGCTGTGGGTGCTCCCCAGAGAAAGACAGTGAGAGGAAAAGTGAGAAATCACCACCCAGGGGATACGGCCACACTGCATTCTCTTCTCCTCTATTCTCCTCCTTGGATTTTGGGCACACACACACATGTGCTCATCTGATTTTCAAGCCGATGGGTCTGGGACTCTAACTGTGGTGAGCCCTGTGGGAGTCAAACACTGTAACTACTATACCACTTGCTGGCCCCACCTGACTGGTAGTTTCTTAAAGAAAAAAAAAAAGGGACAGTTTAGACAAAAACCTAAATGGATATGAAAACTTGCTAAAATTTTTTTCTCACAAAAAGGGAATTTTATTTGTCACGGTCAAAACTTACTAAGGTTTATTATAAGATTTCCATTAAAAGAATCATAGAGGCCAGTTGCGGTGGAGCAGTGGTAATAAACATTGCATGATGCTGAAGCTAATGGGAAGGTCCTGGGTTCACATCCCAAGGTCTCCTTGTGCAAGCTGGGGCTGGGGATAGATCGTGGTATTCAGATTCCTGTGTGTGTGTGTGTGTGGGGGGATTTCTCTCTCTCTCTAAGAAATAAATACACTTGTAAAGAGTTTTAAGGGACCAGCATATGATGTAATGGTTATGTCTCTGGACTCCCACATAGTCAACCATGGTTCGAGTCCTGGGACCCAGTGGCTTCAAACTCATATTGAGTGTATGTATGTGCGTGCCTAAAATCCCAACATGATAATGGAGAAGGAATTGCAGCATGGCCAACCCCCCTGGGGGTGATTTCTTGTTTCTTGTCTGTCTCTTTCTTTCCAACAAGCACACATGCCCTCCTATAGCAAAAACTCTCTATCTTAAAAAAAAAAAAAAAAAAAGCTTTAGTATAAAATAGTATATTACTGCTATATTAGAACTTAGGATGAGATACGGGAATTCAGATGCCCAGCAGTCTGATCTGTTGTGTGTTTTCATCTAAAAAGTCACTTAATGGCTGAGGAATTGTTGGTTTCATTACCCAGGAAACCAACAAATTCATTACAAGGAGTGTATCTAGAACCTTTCCTTTGGTAGTTCCCAAAGGAAATTATGTACAAAATTAACAGTGTGTTTATATGGGATAGTCAGTTCATGAGCAAATCAAAACGGAGTGTTGGACTCAGTAAAGAGTGAGGAAGATCGCAAAAATGATCCCTAATTGTACTCACTGCTCTCCCCTTTCCCCTTGAACTAATGCCCTCAGATGGCTCTTGTAATTTCTAAAACCAAATGTAAGAGAAAAAGATCTACCAGCAACCCCTACTTTTTGTAGGCTCTACCTGCAAACTACAACACACACACACACACACACACACACATACACACAGAGAGAGAGAGAGAGCAATTTTATGGGGGAGGAAACATAAAACTTGACTCTCTTCTTGGGAAAAGATAAGAAAAGGTATAGTAGCCAAACACAATAAATACTTCATAAATTCTCTTTTCTCCCTATCAAATCGGGTCTGAAACTGAAAGCACTTAGTTCCTCAAGATAAAAAGGCCAGGGCACCACTGTCAGAGTGGGAATGTGACGGAATCGCCCAAGATCTGCCTGAGCTCGGGTACCTGACAACTCTGCACTTGGTCCTCTAAAGAGGAAGCACCTCTGATGGTAAGGAGATCAGGAACGTCCCCTGAGGAGAGATGGGGTGTTAGAAGGGGGCTGGGACAAGGTCTGATGGTTGAGTTGTCCACAATGATGTGGGTTATGTGTCAATAGCCAAAGCCACAAAGTCAGTCCCAGGTAAGAAATACTCCTGGGGCCAGCAGATGGCATAGCAGTTACGTTGCTGGATTTCCACATAGCTGACCGCGGTTCCAGTCCTGGAGCAGGTGGTTTGAAAATCTTGCCAGGAACATGTGTGTGCATGGCAGGAGGAGAATGAAGGAGAAAGGACTGAGGCATGGCCATCTCCCTGGGGGATTTCCTACTTTGTCTCTCACTGTCCTTGTTTCCTCCACCCCGTCTCCCTTAAGTGCACATACCCTAAGTCAAAAACCTTTAAAAAAAAGAAAAAAGAAAAAGAAATGCTACGAATAAGGTGATAAGAGTCAGATTTGGCAAGAGGAAAACATCTCGAAGGACAAAAACATCACCCCTCTAGAAATTTCAAACATAATCTAAGATCATGGAACGTATCACCCAGACCTTTTAAGGCATCGCTGCTACTGCTGTGTCGGAATGCGAGGGCCCTTGTCCTGCAGCTAGTCAAACCTAGACTTTTGGATCAGAATAAGTATATATACTTGATTTCTCCCTTTCCCTCCCAATTCCACATACACACCAACTTCTACCATCTCCTTTGTTTTTGTTTAGGACCTTTAAGATGGAAAGCACTCTTCTCAGGATTAGGAGAGACACAAGGTGGAAATAAAGATGTTCCTACTATGGTTTCCTGCATTCCACAGAATGCCTGGAGACCCCACACTTGGAGATCAGGGAGTGCAGGCAAGGTTGTGGGAGGGGAACTTGGAGGCCAACACTTTCACTCAGGTTGGAGGTGTTCAAATGAGAGTCTCGGGGGATTTTAATGGGTAGGTTTAAAGCATGCAGTCAGTTCCTGAGGTCATGCTGTGACAGAGAGATGATTACTGACAGATGGGCATAGTACACGTGGGCTGTGAGGGTCAGTGAAACCAGCCAAGTAGGCTGTACCTAGCTTCCCATGGGAAGTGGTCTCAGGAGCAGTTACATAAAGCAGATATCTGGACTGACCACTTTGAGGAACTGGGAGGTGGAGAGGGAAATTGAAAACTGGATCCAGGGTGATTGAGCCCTGCTTCTGGTATGAGAAAGTTAAGCTTCTATTCCAAATAGATCCCAAGGCAACACGAAATAAAGACTCACTGCAGTCCATCCCTTGGTGCCTCAGCATCATATGGTGGGTGTAAGGTGGTTGTGACTGAGTGTCGGAGATTATTGACTGTAGGAGAAGAAGGTGTGGTTGCGATTATGTTCAGAGATGCTGGGCAAAAGATTGCAGTGGAAAGCTGAAGTGGGTAGTAGGAAAAGACATTGAGGAGTGGATGGTCTTCTCCCCAGAGGGTTAGAGGGTTGACTGAAATGGGGCTGGCACCTCTTGGGGAAAGCAGTAATCTCCATAAATGTTAGCAACCTGTATTATGTTTCTTTTTTAGACATGGAGGTATAGTATGAAGATTCAGTTGGTAGTACCTGTCGCCTCTCTCAAGAAAGAAAGAAATAAGGAATGAGAAAGAAAGAAAGAAAGAAAGAAAGAAAGAAAGAAAGAAAGAAAGAAAGAAAAAAGAAAGAAAGGCTTTTTATTTTTTTATTTTTATTTTTTTAAGGAATCCTGGTTAGTTATTTAGGAATCCTGAACTTTGGGATTTGAAGTAGTGACTCATTAACACAAAGTAATACATTAACACCATGAAACTAATGTTCACACCTAACTTATGTTGTCTTATGTTTATTTGCAGTACTTGAAGATGCCATCTCTTCTACACGTAACTGTTCACTTCTTCTTGCTAACTTGGTGGCTAACACAGCAGGTAATAAATCCTGCCAACCTGGCCTTTTCCTCACATCTTTGAGACAAATAGAGTTCCCGGAGTTGAGTCTATCGCTAGAGCTAGGTACAGGATGTGAATCTGAAAACTATTTAAAAAAGAATATTAGTAAACAAAATAGAGTCACAATGCTTAGCTTTTTACACTATCCACAGTGTAAGTAAGATTGTGTTCATACGTGTGCTATATATTAGCCCTAATATAGGAACATGTGAAATCACACACTGACAGGAAGCCCATGCTGTAGTCCCTGGGCAGTGTCCGGCACACTCGGATTCCTCAGTGCAGGGGTCAAGGGACTGCTCTTTTTTAACAGGTGACCAGCCAAATGTTGCCAACCAAGCTGGACATGGCTTCCCAGATCTTCGACGACCAGTATTTGGGCTGTGTCCAAGAAATGGAGAAAGAGGCACCCCAGCTGATAAAGAGAGAAATGAACATAAATAAAAATTTTAAAATGGAGTGGGAAAAGGCAGAGAAACGGTGGAAGAAGATAAAGAACAAAATAAGCTATTCCAAAAAATTAAACGACTTCCATGGAGCCGCTCTGGTGGCCTATACTGGGAAGATTGCAACAGATTTTAACAAAGCTGTCAGAGAGTTTAAAAATTCAAAGCACTTTCAGTTCTATGCCTTCCATTACTATTTGACAAGAGCTCTTCAACTTCTCTCTACAGGGAAGTGTTACACAGTTTACAGAGGCTCGCAGAACAGATTTGATTACAGTGGGAAGGGAAATGTACGATTTGGGCAATTTACTTCTACCTCTTTGGATAAAAAGATAGCTACTTCTCAAAACTTCCTGAGTGGAAGTGGGACGCTGTTTGTCATCAATACCTGCCTGGGTATTTATATTAAAGATTTCTCTAATTATCCTAATGAAGAAGAAGTGCTGATTCCGGGGTATGAGGTATACCAGAAAGTCACTGTAAGACAACCAGCAGGTAAAAAATACAATGTAATTTGGCTGGAAAAGCCACAAAGAATGGAGAGTTACTTCAATTGCTACTACAGATCTGCTAAAAAGCCCAGAATACAAGATTCTGTCAATTCCTATAGCTCAGGTGAGTTGAAGCTGGGACTAGTGAGGCCATCACAAAGTGAGAGGAGTGGTCTCCTCCCAGAAGTCCCCAGAGCAGAGAGTAATGATACCTCCAATCAACTGCTAAATAGTATTGAGTTCCTACAGGACAAGGCTGATATCCGGGAAGAGAGATCAGAGCCCTGGCTCAGTGATACAGGCAAGTATAAACAAGCTTGTATAAGCAAGCTCCAACTTCCCTGCTGTGCAGAAAGTTCAGAAAGAGTTAGACACCCAGTAAAATAAGTTATGGGAAATACTGTATGTTAGGGGATATATCAAAGGGCCAGGGGGACTAGGGGACCTGATTGTAGGTAGACAGATGTGGCTGCTGTGGTAATCTAGGCAAGAGACAAGAGTGTCTGAACTGTAGAGGTGGCTGTGCTGATGGAGGTCCAGGGACTGTACTTTCTATGAGGTGTTCTGCAGGAAGACAGTGAGAGTTGGCTGGATGGAGTGGTGTGGTCAGAAAATGGTGAGGGACCTTGAGCGTTCCAGTCTGGCTAGTTTACAGGTTCTGAGTAGGATAAAGGATATTCCATAGAAATAGTTGCCTAGATTGAAGAGCAGATGAATAGTGGTGGAGTGAAGAACTCAAAGAATTGAAAGCTTTTGCATGACAGGCCACACATACACAGATCACATACACAGAGACGATACCATGCCAACGAAGATTAGAAAAAGTAAAACCAGAGGGCAGCAAGGTCTGTGAAGGTGAATCAGGAATGGTTGGAAACAGTATCAGAAAGCTCAAGAAGGGCTCTCTGACCCTGAGATAGGTGAGACATGCCTAGAATCTACCCTCTCAGTGTTTAGACATTAAACGGGAAATCTGATGGTTTGAGAGGCCCATGTCTTGAGAAGTCCCAGTCAGAAACCTTTCCTTTTCTTCCTCCCACTGCAGGAGTGAGAAAAGGCCCTGCAATCCTCCTGCTGCTGCCTGGGATCCTTGTTTGGCTGCTCCTCTGAGCAGTAACCTGTTGGCGACGTGTTCTGCACTGAGTCTGGGAAGCTAGGCTGTCAGAGAGAGGCAAGGGAGCAGATCCTGACTGGCTCTCCACATTGGCAGTATTGGAAGGGTAGCATGGGATATAACACCATCTACATTAGTAATGCTCATGTCTGCCACCGACAAATGAAGAGACTACCGAGTGACTGCAAAAAGGCAGTGCTCTGTCCTAAAATCTACTACCTGAGATAAGTCCCAGGTCTCTTGACACTGTGCTATGACTACAAAGCAATGTTTGCATGCACTGTTAACAGCGGCAATCTTAAAAATGCAATTTAATTGTGATGGATGTTGTAATCTACAGAAATAAACCATTTATAAGTGCTCGCTTTTCAGCAACTAGGTATTTCTATAGTTGGTATTATTTGTTCAAGAAATTCTCCTAAGGCATAAGATTTTATGCCAGTATTTTTTACAGTTGAGAAGGTTCATGTTGTACATTTCCCATAGATATCTTTATAGCACTGATTGATCGTGCCAGAAATTCAAAATAGATAAATCCCTAGATAAATTCCTGTTCTAGATAAATCTCTATCCCTATCCTACTCTACTAGAAATTCAAACAGCTATCAAGCCCTGTCAATTAACTTGAACGATAGCTCCCACATCTATTCCTTGCCTCTCACCAACTCTGACTATCTCTGAGGAAATGAACAGGCACATTCTGATGTACAGTTCAAACCAGCAGGTTTAGGTGTTCATCACCAAGGGTAGGTTTGGCTCAGGTGCACAGAATTTCACTCACTCCTCATTCTCCATGCCTGAAGACTACATTGCCCTTGGCCTACCAGCTACAAAGACAAATGACAAAGAAATAGTAACACCAAATAGTATAATGGTGCATAATAGATTTTTAAAAAATCAATGGAGAGACTAAAGAAGTAAAGAAAATTCCATGCAAACACAGGAACTAAATATGGCAGGGGTCACCTCACAAATCAAGGAGAGAAGGATGAGTCAACGAATGGTGTTCACACAACAGGCTGTCCACACGAAGGAAAGGAACTTGAGTTAGATTACTGCCTGTACCCATTAAATAAAATTCATGGGAGTTCATTTGTTTTAGTCTGTTTTCAGTTGCTATAACAGAATACCCATAACTGGGTAATTTACAAAGAAAAGGGGTTTATTTAGCTCACAATTCTGGAAACTGGGAAGTTTAAGATTGGGAAGCCATGTCTGGAAAGGGCCACAACTACTATCACAGTAACTAACTCCCTCAAGACCTAACTCATTCCCAGGACACGTAACTCACTTCCAGGAGAAAGTCATTAATCCTCCTTAATGACCTAAGAGCTTTTTTAAAAAGAGTTTTGTTTGTTTGTTTTTCTATAGGACACATGTGATCACCAGAAACAGAGAGACATAGATAGAGAAGGGGAGAAACCACACCCCAGGGAAGATGGCCTTGCCACAATCCCTTCTCCATTCTCTTCTCCTCTTGGGATTTTTGGGCATGCATACACAGGTGCCTGGCATGAGTTTTAAGCCACTAGATCTGGGATTTGAACCACAGTCAACCATGTGGGAATCCAGTGCCTTAACCACTATGCCACCTGTTGGCCCCAATGACCTAAGTATTTCTAAAGGTGTCCCCTCTTAACATCAACATATTGTAATTAGTAGGTTGTCAGAAAAGCCAGGACATATTTTTCTATGCAAAAATGTCTCCTGACTTTTCCAACTAGCCAATAGATTTCAACATGATTTTATTATTATTATTATTATTATAGGGTTTTGCCATGGAGTATGTGTACTCACCTGAGAGACAGAGAGAGACAGAAAGAGGGAAAGTGAGAAGTCATCCCCCAGACAGGCTGGCCATGCTGCAATTCCCTCTCCACCATTCTCCTGTTGGGATTTTGGGCATGCCTGAACACATGCCCAGTGTGTTTTTCAAGCCTGTGGGTCCAGGACTCAAACAGTGGAGTCAGCCATGTGGGATGCAGAGCCTTAACCACCATACCACCTACTGGCCCATGGTTCAACATGAATTTTGGTAGGGACAAACCGCATCCAAACTATAGCATCACTGTTTTGGACTAAGCTCCTTTACTAGGCCTCAACAGACCAGACTAGACTAGAATGGAGTCCCTAGTGCTAGGTGCTATGTCATCAAATTGAACTTTGAAAAGGGCCAGTTTTTCCAAATACAGGAGATTCACAGCAACCAATTAGGAAAAGCTCAATTTACCTGAGCTGGCATGATAAAGAAATCCCTTCTGTTTTAATGCCATGAGGAAAGTTGCTTTGAAATGACTAGCCAGTTTTTCATTTCTCATTTCTGCTTTCTCCAGTCTTCCCCTGCCTATAAAGTCAACTCCCTCTGCTCAGTTCATCAAAGCACCCATTCTATTTTATAGAATGAGATATTGCCCAATTTCGTAATTATGAATAAAAGTCAACTTGACCTTTAAATTTGTTGTAATTTTTTCTTTCAATGTACCATATATAAAAGAAATCCCAAAGAAATGAATGACCTAAATGTGGACAATGAACATCTAAAAATGTTACTTAAAAAAGGAAGAGAATTTTCCCAACACCTGAGAAATAAAGTTATCTAATATCTGAGAAAAAAAGCCATTTTTTACCAAAAAAAAAAAAAAAGCAACAAAAAAAAAAAACAACTTTTTGCCACTCCTCACAAAAGCCACAACAGGGCTGTGCTCACAGTCGTGCAGGTGTCTACAAGGCTGGAGGTTCCATCACAGAATATTCTTTCACAATCACAAGTCAGACAAAGGGGACGTGGTGAATGGGTGTCTGAGTCCCTAGATTTCATTACTCTTGCCCAGAAGTGACACCATCACTTTACCTCACATTTCATTGATTAAAGCAAGCCATATGGCCATACCTGGCTTCAAAATGGGCTTGCCAAAAACCTAGAAGAAAGAAGGAAAATTTGAAATAAATTCTATTGATTGATTAGGGAAGTATTTCTTAAATAAGATCAAAAGCACAAGGCAGGGGCGGCAGATGGCATAGTGGTTGAGGTGCTAGGCTCCCACATGGCCTACCCACCAGAGTGCAAGCCCCAGAGCTGACAGCTTTCTCTCTTTCTCTCTCTCTCTCTCTCTCTCTTTCTCTCTCTCTCATGCGCACATACCCTGTAGTAAGTTTAAGAAACAATAATGAGGTGGCCGGAACGTGGCGCCGGGCTGGAAGCAATATGGCGGCCAAGCACAAGACCAAGTTGTCCAAGAACTTGCTGCGCATGAAGTTTATGCAAAGAGGACTGGATTCAAAAACCAAGAAACAACTAGAAGAGGAAGAAAAGAAAATCATTAGTGAAGAACATTGGTATTTGGATTTGCCAGAGCTTAAAGAGAAAGAGAGTTTCATAATAGAAGAACAGAGTTTCTTGTTATGTGAAGATCTTCTCTATGGAAGAATGTCATTCAGAGGATTTAATCCTGAGGTTGAGAAATTAATGCAGCAGATGAATGCCAAGAACAAAGAAGAAGACATTGAAGATGAAACAGTGGAGCTTGATGTGTCAGATGAAGAAATGGCTAGAAGATATGAGACCTTGGTGGGGACAATTGGAAAAAAGTTTGCCAAGAAGAGAGACCGGGTCAATTATGAGGAAGATGAAAATGGAGACATAAAACCAATTAAACCAAAAAAGGTGTTCTTAAAACCCCAGGATTAAAATGGATGCCATAAGACATGGCTCAAGGATGCCTGGTGAAAGTGAGCAGCTTATTTTGGAGTTCATCCTGCTGGTGTCTCTAAAGTTATCAGTACTGTAATGTTTACTTGTTAAAAAAACAAAGGAAGACTTTGGCAGCATGCTGTTTTTGAAACAGACACATGATGGATGTTATAAACTCCTTTGCTGAACGATAGTCATCAAGAGTGGGTTTTCAGCCCTCGCCGTCAGGTGTACATAGAGTCAGGGTTGCTCTACAGATTTTTTTACCTCACTTTTTAAAAATACAATCATCGACCTCGAATAGACTCACATAAATTAATGTCCATGGTTAAGTTGCCCTTATGTTTATATTTCACTTTAAATTGTTAATCATGCCAAGCCAGTTCATACATAGACTTCGGAATCAAACGCCGTGTTATATGTAAATATATCAAGAACAAACCTGCTTCTCCAGCCTTATTATCTGCGTGCTACCTGGTCATTGTCAGTTAATGGTAGTATGGTTTTCATTTAAAGCATCTACTTAATTAAAAAAAAGTTGTGTCATAAACTTCTATTTCATATGCTTTTTCTATTATATTT